TATATATATATATATACATACATATATAATCTCATTGACTAATTGTTAAATTAACGATAAGCTTTCTTGGTGCGGATTATTATCGACATAAATAATGCGTTAAGAAGGACACAGACCTAAGTTACAAAATGCAAATATCCAATGTGACTAAAAAGAAAAGAAAAGTACAAAAAATTTTATATAAGTAATTTGCTCTAATTCGTAATGCAATACTATCGACGATACTGTTATGTCATTCAGTGGAAGCTAAAAAGCAGTACTTGTCGGAACTACTGTGTTAAGTCGATTCTAGGTGTGTGGCTTAGGTCTATATCGTCCTCGGCATGTGAAATAAAGCTAAAAACTAAAAATCACTGTTACGAGAGCAATTGAACTCGTCGGAGCCGTCCAAGCAATGCGGCCGGCCATCGCAACGTCTCTTAATGTCGAGGCACACTCCATCGTTGCATCGAAACCACCCAGGTGGACATTCGGTTACTACAATAATTACCAAGTTCCATGTCGAGTATTATCGTGCATGCTATACGGGAAGAATAAGGGGGGAAAGAGAAAAAAAATGGCCTTACCACCGCAGGATTCCACATTTGTTCAAAATAATCAGACAACGTGTAAGGCTAAAGAAACGTGCTGCCATCGCACGTGAAATTCATTTTATTAACACTTGAGTAATCGCGGCGATATGTATGCAAATTTTTTTTATTTCTTAATTGCAGTTGGCGCATATTACACAAGACGGGAACACCTGTTTTAACAGATATTGATTTTATGATGTATTCAGATTTCCCTTAGCAATCCTTTCTTCGAAAGAAAAAAATCTCGCTTATAAAATTAAATACTTCTCAATTGTATATGTTGTATTTATTATTCAACTTAATTATTTTCAATTTACCTTCTCGAAGAGATTTCTATCGATGATATTCTCAAACCGATAAACATTATGAGTAATAAAGTCTCTACGACTACTTAAGTGTTAAACAAACGTGGGGATGGTCGCGTGAATTATTACGCGTTTCTTATCATACACAATAGACGCTACTTGTCACCCTTGTTAGTCGTATATTATTGTACTTTGCTGAGTACACCAGCCACTCTGCTCTAATAAGTTTCTAAGGCAAAGTATACAGTAGAACGATCAATCCTCATGTGAACCCATCGGGACATTCGCTCTTCTTGCATCGTCCAATTAATATTATCATGAGCTACTTACAGGAGCTTTTATCATGCGCTTCCAAATGTTCATACCGGTTATACTCCCAGAGAGACACGTGCGCCAACACTTACAATATAGACAAAATGCAATGTGTGACATCAAGCAACACATGCGAGATGATTCCTTTTCATGCGAAGAAAGAATGCGATGTCATATGTGATAAGAAGTCATTCCATGCATACAATGACTATTACAATTTCGATGTAGGTTGTTGAGATTTTAATTTAATAACAAATACATCCATATATTCTTGATTCAAAGGAATCAATTTAGGATATATTGGGATTGGAGTGGGAATAATGATTGTATTGTTATTATTGTATGACGAACGGAAACAATTAATTTATACACAAAAAATAAGATAATGATTAACTTTCTATTATCATGCAGGCATTAAGATTAACAGGAAATGTATTATTAGATAATTCAGACTTAAATTTTGTAACATGCTGCATAGGTTAATATTACATCTGATTGAGTAAAAAGTTTTTCTAATCGAAGTATAGTCATTCGAGGATTCCAACAAATTGAGAATAAATGGGACTTACGATATTCGTCTTGTAAAAGCAGGTGTGTAATAATTTTGCAGTGTACGATTGGCTAACAAGCAAGAGCAGTGAAAAGGCCATTTTTTATGGACGATTGTGGGCGCGTAAGCTGTAATATAATTACCACATAGATCCTCATCGGATCCGTCGCTGCACTGCTTTATTCCGTCGCACCTTTGGTTTTCCGGCAAGCATTCGCCACTGGCACACTTCCATTCGGCAGGTGTGCATATCCCTTTACGACACAGCATGTCAAAAGCTCCCGCAAAAAGCATTAGGGATTGGAGAATAGTAAGGAATCATCAATGGTGTCATTATAATTAATTGTTACGTAAGCATGTGTCATACTGTATAAAATTTCAGTTAGGAATAAAAGTAGTTTAAATTAAATTCTCAAATCAAATTAAAGAAATATTTAATATATCAAAACTTTATATTAAAACTTAAAAATAACTATAAATTTATAGATATGTAAAATTATGATAGCATTATTTAATATTATTAATAGTTATTACAAATTTATAAGTAATTGTCAATCATAAGAAAATAATTAATTGGAATGACACCACTGAATATTTGTGGGAATATTGAGCTATCAGTAATGAACTTTTATTGAATTGTCGATGGTAAACATTAACAATATATAAGTAGATATGTCAACGTTGCATTTCAATAAAGAACTATTATTACGCAAAAAAACACTTAGTAAAATTTATCTGTCAGTGTTTTTCAATATACACATATTTTTTTACGACATTAAAAATAAATAAAATATAAACTGAAGCTGAAATATTAATAAAAGAAAAATGTAATTTATCAAACTGATTTAGAACAATTTATCGAAAGAGCTTATTATAGGAAAAGAATTTTAGCGAATTACTATAAATAAATATATAAAAATAAAATAATAAATGTACATATAAAATATTTTTATTTTATAAGCAAGAGAGAGATTTCCTCAGGCTTGTAAAATCAGAAACCGTTCGTCATCGTTAATATGAATACGCGGAGGGAGGAAATCAGGAAACATTTGTCATCGTTAATACGAGTATGCGGAAAGGAAAGGAAGAGGATGGGCTGTGAGAACGAGGTGAAACCCTTACCGCAGCCGCGCTCGTCGCTGCCGTCGAGGCAGTCGAAGATATTGTCGCATTTACGTCGTAGAAGAACGCAACCGCCATCATCACAGCGCATCTCTGTCCTCGGATCGCATTCCCTTCTGCGTTCGGGTGTCCAGCGTGGATCGGAGGAGTCTGAGCGCACATATACACACAGGCACATTCAAGGGAAAAATCCGCAGCAAGGAAAATGAAGCATCGAGCAGCCAGAGATCAAATTTAAAGGTACACTTGCAGCGAGACGTAATGCATTTACTTTCTATCATACCATAATGCAACTGAGAATGATGCAACAGAAAACTAAAAAGAGAATATTAGTTCGCAAGCAGAATCACAAATGTGACTGAGATGACGTGGCTTACATAAGAATGCCCAAATTTTCTATCCTTCGTGTTTTTTACTGTCCTTTCAGCAATTAGCAAACTATTGCCGGAAAAAACACTAAAGTTCGCAGGGAAAGAAAAAGGCACTCCTATCCAACACCGTCATCTGCATCCGAGCGTACAAGTTCGTGCGTAATGCATCTACTTGTATATCAATGCATGGCGTATACATCCGCAGGCTGCTTTGTAACGCGGCGATTTGCGGCGTGAACGGGCGAGAGTACCGTCGACGATCACCGTGAATCTTCCGTGAATCTTCCGGGGGATTCGCGGGGTAATACGTTTCCGGTGTGTTCCGACCCTTCCGCATTCAGGTGGTACGATAAAATAGAGCCGTTGTCGAGAAACACGGTTTGTTGAAGAACAGAAGAAAAAAAGAAAAGAAAAAAAAAAGGAAGAGAAAGAGATGTACTTGTACATCTTCAATAAGTTGTCTCGATAAGTTTAGCAGTCGCGTCTCGTAAGTATAAATTTTCCCAGGGCGCGGTAAAACGAATGTTACAATGGCCGTCGGGGTCTTCGGAGAAGCAACAAGAGGCGGAATCGCTTTCTCGACCACGGTCGTAACGATTGATCGTGAGAAATGCACAATGAAATACAACCATCGTCAAGTGTGTATCCGCTCAAGCAGGTAGATCCACTTGTCCCGCGTAAATAAGAGTTCCTTAAGAGGATTTGACCGAAAGCAAACATTACGGACCTCAGGCGAAGGCAGGCAACTTGTAACACTGCGAAGTCCGAAGATATTTTTCAAATCTCTCATTTTTATTGTTTAACGTCTAGCGGCGAATAAAACTGCATAGAGTATCGGCATGTATAAACAACTAAAATCAAATGCGTTTACGTTTAAATAGTTACAAATAAAAAATTATAATTATTATAACGAATA